AATTTTAGGAAGGAAAATAAATTCTGCCATTTTCCTAACTTTCTTTCACATTTTATTATAAAGTTATTCTTTCAGACTACTCATGGGCAAATTTTAGATGATGTCTATCTGCCCATTCTGTATGGATTCTGACTCTGCTGCTGAAGAAAAGCACGAGCTTTCTGAGTTTTTCTCGATGTCAGCTGAGGAGGGTAAAGGAACAAATAATATAAATGAGAAAAAGTACAAACTAGTTCAACTTTATGCTTTTTAGTCTTCTAAAAAATAGTTCTGTGTATGAAAATAAATTAGGGTCACCGTTTCTGGAACAACTAAAAAAATGATTTAAATCAAAGCAAGGAATCTTACTTGACTTTGCTGAATACTTTCTGAACAGATGGGGTACATGAGACATGAAGAAAGGTCTGTGAGGAAGCAGATTGTGGTGGTTTCTTAGAGGCCACATTCCGCTGATGCTTGCTTCAGAATAACAACACAGACAAATTTCAGGATAGACTAAAATGTCTGTCTCCTGAAAAAAAAGAACAGTCATCTCTTTCACAGTGAAAACAAGTTAAGGAAACAAAGTTCGTCTGTTCAGATGGGAGTAAATGGATGAGGTAGTCAGGAAGAAATCAGTAACTTTCACTTCCAGCACTGGTTAGAACCATCATCTTCACCAAGCAGATTTACAAGGCCACAGGGAGAGACTGGCATAGGTTTGAACTCTGGTACAGAATCAGTCAAGATGATGATTGGATGTGAAACATGTTTTACACTTCTCTGATGTAAGAAGTCAGTCTCTTGCCAATGAGTCCCGGGTTTGCTGTATGGGGTTTAATTTTTTTTCCATCTGTCTTTTTGCCTAAATGAAGATGTATCCAGTGTCTTTGGCTCATTTCCTGGTCCTGCTCCCAGAAATTGCTCCACTTCATTTTGGACCTGAATACAAGTTCTTTGAACTTACTTGATGCTGGAACACTAGATGGTATTATTTCTTCATTTTCTGAAGCAGAAGGAAAACTTCATTTTTGTTATACTAAACTCCCTCAGCTAAATGTTTGCTGGAATTCCATTCTGCCTTCCTGCTAATTACTGCTATGGTTTCTTGCCAGCTATCATTTTGAAAAGTCAAATACTAGCTTCCAGATGAGCAGCAATGTGAAAGACAACAAAGAATCATTCTAAATAAAATATATGGTAGCATGAAAGGAAAGCAAATGTTTTTCTGTTGGGACAGTTGCCTACAAGTCCTGGCTAAGCAACTGCCTTATGAAGACAAGGTGGGGTTCTGTCAAAGTGGGAGTTTGTCCACATCTCAAAACCAGCACACTTTTCATCATGTCATGGTTCACTTGGTGGAGAACAGCATTCCTTCATTCCCTGTAGGTGTCTGAGAGGTGTCAAGAGGAGGTGTCTGGGACAGAGGCAGAAGTAGAGGACAAAGCTAGGTTGAAAATTTGGTGATATAAAATCATAGAGTAATTCAGGCTGGAAGTGACCTCAGGAGGTCATCTACTCCAACCTCCTATTCCAAGCAGAATCAATAATTAATTCAGATTACAGTCCTTGAGAATTCATCCTTTCAGCTATTGAATATTTTCAAGGATGGAGACTCCACAACCTCTCCGTGCCAGGGTTTGACTGTCATCATGAAGAAAAGACTCTTCCTTACCTGATGTCTGAATCTGTCCTGTTCTAGTTCATGACCATAGTCTCTTGTTCTCCTGCTGTGCAACTCTGTAAAGAGCCTGGCTCCATCCTCTCAGTAATACCTTACAGCTATGGGACTGCTGGTCATAGGTCCCCCCAAGTCTTCTCCAAGTTGAAAAAGCCCCAGTCCCTCATCCTAGGGCTTTTCTTTTCATCCATTCTCTTCCCTGACCAACTTGGTGGTCTCCTGCTCCAGTTTATCAACATTCTTTTGGCAAGGCAGGAGCAAAACTGGACAGTCTTCTGTACACAGTCTAATGAGTGCTGCCCAGGATGTTTACTCACCTTCCTTGGTGAGTAAAGTTTGGCTTGCACAAAGCAGAATACGACAACTCATGTTACCAAGAGTTTTCAGGTTGAGTGGCTCACCCTGACAGGTGTGCAAAAGATGGGGAACTATCCACTGATCCAGCAAGATTTTGTATTCTAAGAGTCTCCACCATTTGGAAACTGGGCACGGTGACAGATTTCCAGTTCAGCTGTGAGACATATAGAGCAGAGCATGTGGTACTCCAAATCAGGCATCAAAAATCAGCTTTTTTATTCTGAACAGGACTGGCACCGAGTCTGGTTTCCAGACGGTTTTCTGTTGTCTGTTTCTGTTGCTTAGAGGAACACAGCAAAATCAGACAGGGAAGCCCTTCCCCACAGAGAAGTAAGGAATCAGGGAAGCTGAAGTAAAAACCTGAAGAATAAGGTAATAATTAGAATATTACATCACTTTCCATGTCAGTTTTCTCCAGTAACGAACCAGCTATGGAAGCTCTCACTTTTATGCTAAACAATTCAGTGTTTGACTCTTCTGTCTGTAGTAGCTTTGGCTGGCTACAGTCTTATTTATAGTTAGATGCAAAGCAATCCATTAAAATGCTTGTTATTTCTTTATTAAAAAATGTGGTCTTTTAAAGGACAGCTCTTGTTTACCATCCCCTCAGATTTCAGTCAAACTTCATATCAGTGTTTGTGTTCTATACTATACAAAGTCCGATTTCTTTTGTTCTCTGTCTGCTTTTGATATTTAATTTTTAAAACTGTTCAATGACTGTATTAGGGTCTGGTTTAGTTGTTTCCATATTTGGAATTGTTCCTTACAGCTCACTGATCTCACATTCATTCATGAATCTCATTAAAAGTCAATGGGAAATTTCAGTTTAAGAATGTGATCTTTGGAGTAGCTCTGGCTTCTAAAAGATGCTCAGCACAGCTGAAGAGCACATACTTACTAAAGCAGGGACACGACAAAGTTTACTTAAAGGACTGCTAACTATACTCACCTCTAACTATTTGTTGGTGTTCCATTTATTTGTTGTACTAATTGTCCTAACAAAAGACAACTCAAATACAAAGAGGATAATGTAAAACAATAAACTGAAGCACCATATACAGTGAAATGCCTTTTTAACTCGAAGTTGTAGCACTACCCACCATTGTACTGCATAGCTCCAGTACATAGGAGAAGTTGATTGCATGTCCAGTTTCTGTAGTTATATCCTTAAAAACAAATACTTAAGCACTCTGTAAAACTAGGCCATAAATGCTTATTTTATTTTTTAATTTATTCTTTAAAAATAGCAGATGCAGGCTTAAGCAAGACTACCAGGACGCAACAGGTCCAAATGTTTAACTTTCTCTTTTTAACTCTGCAGAGTACTGAGTATTGCTGACTTCTACAAGTACTGGGGAGACATAAAGTCATTCAGCAATTTAAAGGATTGAGCACTGTTAAATTACAGAAATGCACAAGACCTCATCAGAAGGGTTTCTTTCACTGGGGAAATCTTATCTAACAGTAGATTTTTCCCTGACATCTGATTTCCTGTAATAGATGGGATCACATTCTTGTGGGTCTTTTGTGCTGCTGTGGCCTTGCACCCAGGCATCTGAGCAGACAAACAGAGCAAAGATACAGCAAATTATAAAAACAGGATTCCCTTTGGTGCTTATACCATCCTGCCTAAGGGCATGCATAGGAGGCTGAGCCTGGGGCTCACTGTTGCTGCCAAGCAGCAGTACCTGAGATACAGGAATCAGGGCAGGAATTACATTACTCTCTAATTCTACTGCTTTTTCAGCATTTGCCTCTTGACCTTCGACTCATCTCACAGTTTCCTCACTCCTTACCTATTTTTCTCTTTACCCTCCATCTTACTGATACAGAATTCGAGGTAAAAAGCTTTATGAGTTTATTACTTTTTCCTGTCACCTACAAATTACTTGGTTTGAAGCAGAAATCCAGGAAATCTACAGACTGTGGTAGCCAAAATGTCAAACTATCTTTGCAGAGACATAAGCAGCATATAGACAGAGAGGCAGATTAACCTGTGCTCATAACCCTTCAGAAACAGCACTGTAAAAAAGCAAATGTGTGGTTGCAGGACCCATGAAATACAAAGAGTGAACAGGCTGCATTTTGAAGGGTAATTTAATTTTAATCACCGGTCAGAGATTTGCCGAAGGCAGAGAAGGTCATTAAGGCTTGCCACTGTCCACAGCACAGCCATGCAGATGCCAGTATGTCAGTAAAACACCTTTTTTCACATGCCCTAGCACAAGGTGGACACAAGCAGAGCCACGTAGACATCAGTAGAGCTCCAACCAGCCCTATCTGCTGATCTGAGACCCAGAAAGAGCCATAGACTCAAAAGGGGAAGGTAGGGAAAGTGGTCAAAAGGATTTAGTGTGTCCTCTTATACTGTAGAGCCCATTGTGCCTCTTTGTCACACAAAAAGGAAGAGAGGAAAGAAATTTCCCCCAAACATCAGTATGCAATCTTCCACAGCTTGCAGTCAGGAATCAGCAAATTCACACAGACAGACCTAGGTCTGCGTGAGGTTACAGCTTATTTCTGTGCAGGTTATCGTACTGTGCACGGGGCTTTTAAAGCACAAATATAGTTTCTGACATCCTACCTAAATGAGTGGAGTGGTCACCATAGTAACACCTGCATCACATGGCACTGAACACCTGATACCAATCAATCTTGAAAAAATCTTTTTAAAGAAACAGCCTCCTGGAAAACTGCAGATGAATATTTCTTGCTAAGACTAAGAAGATGCTCTTTTCAAAAATGAAATTTTACCTTATCGTCTTCTCATCTGACTCTCCCTCCATAAAATCCCATTCTCTATCAGCTTATAAAGGTGATAGAAAATAAACAAGGGCAATGTTTCTGTGCTGAGAATAGTTACAAACAACAAAGTACAGCTGGCACATAAATGATACCTTGCATTTTTTCCCAGAGCATGAACTGTGGCTTCTGAGAATACAGCCATGCTCTGGTTGCTGAAACAAAATATCAACATGCTCACCAAAGTGTCTCTCCACCTTCCTAGGACACCGGATTTCCTTCAAATGCTAAAAAATCCCAGAAATTTCATCAGCTTCTTTCTCCTTTTTTGGTTTCCAAGTCTAAAATTCAATTTTGTTGATTAGCATTGTGTTCCTCTCTGTGGGTATAAGAAGAAGAGTATGTTTAAGGAAGTGAGGTTTGCACTTAGCTTGATACTGAAGTGCATTCTGCCACCAGCCCTCCAGACACATCCAGCAGCCAAAGAGCAGATGAAGTTGCTGAAGTCCCTAGGGTTTTTGGCACATTGCTGTTTTCTTACAGCTCAGTTCCACCCTAACAGCCTATCTGTGCTATGACTGCTCCTCTGCCTCTTATTACCCTAGCAAGAGCATTGCTACAGGTTGATGAAAATAATCCCAGCGAAAAACTCATGCACAAAGTTCCACTAGTCTCAGCAATATTTCCAACATAGTCTTGCTATTTCCTATTTTATTCTATCCCAAATTATCACTACTTCCATTATTTCAAAGTCTTCTGTTTCTTAGTTTTCCTTTGAAAAAGACTGTTCAGATGGCTTCAATCTTTGTCATCTTCCATTCCATATATATTTTCTTTTTCAAATAACTCACAGTTATAATCATCTATTCTGACAGTGCCTCTCCTTTATTTCATATGATTTCAGAACAGGAGAGCCACTGAATCTGTAAATGCCATTGACTGACAAATTTTGGATATCCAACTCCCATAAAGCTAGTAACAAATTTGCACAGAAATTCTTTCAGCATCCTAGAGATGTGTGTAAAACCAACAGAAGTAGACACTGCATGAGTCTAAGGAGGGAATTAGACATCCTTTCATAAGCCTACTGAATACATTAGAACCTGCTCCCCACCTTGCCATTGCTGACCCACCAGAACAGATTATGTGCACGTGAACTGCTACCACAGGTTGTTTGAGCTCATCTGGGTGACTGCACACTAAAGATGATTAGGAAAATGCTTCGACGACTCATTTCCAGAGAGACAGTCATATCTGGAACTAACTACTTAAATCATCAGATGGTCACTTAGAAAAGATCTCACTACTGCTGTTCAAGAAGAGTGCTATCAAGATTTTGTAAGAAAGGAAGTGCAGTAATTGTGTGATTATGGTATGTATAAGTCACTTTGCATGCATCACAACTGAAATGTCAAATCGTACTTGTTTTGTGCTTAGGTAGGAAAAAAATCCAGTTGTCTCCAATTTTAATATAATATGGGCCTCTACCTAGAGGTGTGTTTCAGAAGAAAAGCGAGGAGCAGAGAGAACTAAGATGCATGTTACTTTGAAGCTAGAAAAATAAAGGGAATTAGCGGTATGTAAACATTTGTGGCAACTGTTTTCTGCCCACATGTTGTCATGCAAATAACTCTGAGCAGCTGTACCAGGTATTTGTGCTGTCTGTAACACTGTACAAGACAGCGCTTTCTACAAGTCAGTGCTAGCAGTCACGCAGTCCTGGTACATATTAGGAAGCCCAGCTTTAAATCTGCTTTCATAGTGTGGAAGTTACATTTATTCAGTAGTGGTTCTGATGCATGTCTCACAGTAAATGGCATTACTGTTCAACAGGGCAACAGACTGCAATGATAGAAATATTCTCCAAAATCAAAATGAAGAAGTCAGTAACAGTTTATTGGGTTTTAAGGTGTGCCAGGGCCCAATTATGGTTTTCAAACTGCAGAGGAATCAATGGCAGAAGAGATCTATTGATTCCATTGATTTTGGCCAGGATCGGAGACCATACTTCAACTACGACCAATATCTTTTGCAAAGATAAGTGGTAAGGGAATATCAGGAAAGTGCAAGTGAGTTGTCACAGCAATTGAGAAAGCTGTCAGTGGCTTCATGTGATTTATCAGCCTGTAAGAAACTGCTCAGAACCTCCCCTGCCCAAATCCTTAGTTTAAAGACAACAGCGTAATCCTTGCAATGAACACAAAATGAGTCCACCCTTGCCCTGAAAGAGCATTGTCATAAATAACTAATTAACCACACAGTTCAGCCTGGAAATCGAACGTTGTACTTGCCACCAGAAAATTATGATTCCTTTGTTTTCCATATCCATTTATAAATGAAGGGTCATCAAAAAAAATAGCAGTGAAGGTAAAAAACACCACAAATATTCTCATTACCTTCTCTAGCAGGTCTTCATATGCTTTTGCTGACAGGAAGATCACAAATCTTTCACCTCTATGCAGCTGACTCATCAGAGCTGTAGAAGCTGTCAGTACTGCAAGTTTTGAAATGTATGCTAAACTGATGCTTTCTGTTAAGGCTGCTACTACCTTTATGTGTATGAACTTCAAACACCAAATACCAGATTGTGAATATGGCATGTGCCTTTTAGGTTGGGGTTCATTTTTTAGTGCTCCTTTAGTAATAAAATCTTTATATAAGCACATCTACATAGTGATTCTTTTTTATCCCCTGATGCTGTGTAGTATAAATAACTAAGAAAATAGCTTACTAAAGAGTTATTTATACAAGTACAAACACAAACCCCTAGATTTGATAATATATATTTTTTTTGTACTAGTGTAATAGTGAAATAAAATCAGCTTGATAAAAATTTGATTCATAAAGAGAAAATAGGATCAGAACAGCAGAACCCTCAAGCAAAGCAAGTCAGAAAGTCTGCTCTCTGAGTTCTCCTTTCATATTCAGACTTCCATCCCTGGCACCTAAGGTTAAGATTTTTTTGCCTTCGTCCAGTTATAATTTCTGAGTCTCAGTACTATCACCTAGACACATCTGACACCTTTTGTTCTCCTCCTCAAAGAAGAGCAAAAGGCAAGGATAAAGGTTGGATTCTCTGACAGGTTTTATCTTCACACTGTGATTAATGAAGCTGATGTTGTACTGAATTTTAACTTGAAAATGCCAAAACCAACAACATCCCTCTGACACACTGTGGAAGAAAGGCACCAATTCACCCCCTTGCCAGTCTGAAATTGCTTAGAAAGGTCAAAAACATTTCAAGACAGAGGGTCTCCCTTACTCCTTTAATTTCCCTACAAAACCCTTTAGACATAAACCATTGACCAAGCCTGGCACTGAAATTGAGCTCAGCTATACCTAGGCTCCAATAGGAGTTTAGAAAGCAAGGGAGTCCCCCTAGAACCTCATGACTCAACGGGAATATCTTCCTTACCTTTTACATCCTTCCCCTCTTACATACCTGGTCTCCACGTAAATCATTTAAAACTGATTCTAAACTGATTTTTCTTTGTATGCTTTATCTACATAGAAAGTCATAGAATGAACCTTGCCATCAAACTTTGTCAAGATGCACCTGCACAAATTGAGATTAAACCTTCTTTAGCCAGTACCTTGGACAGTGATTCTTTAAGTGACCTAAACAATTCATTTGCAACAGTCTCCTAAGAGAGAATCCATGGTAACAGTTTTTACCCAGTTTGTACCCTTTGCCTCGTTCTGCCTTCAGATGAGTTTGCATCTGCGTTAGGAGCAGCCTCCTAAGTACTGACCTCTACTAAGAGGCATTTTATGCCAGCTGTTGAGATGCACAGGATTACTGGCTGAGTACAGCTCGACTGAAGGGGAGGGACCGAACTTCGGTCTACAGATCTCCATGTGCTTCCTACTCCCCTGACCGCCATTATGACATCGTATTGCCTGTAAGAGGCAAACTTGCTCTTTCTTCTGAAATATGCAAACATGGCATCAATTTAGACTGTGCAGTGCTTTTACAGGACATCTTTAATGCCCATGTAGAGCAACTTTAGAGATTCATCTGTTCTTTTTGAGAGAGGTGTAGACAGGATCTATCCAATGAAAAAATCCTTTATTGCAATTCCTCATGGGTCCAGTATAATGGTATTGATCTGGAGGACTGTTTCCCCACTGCAGTGTGGTGCCCAGTCCCTGGAGGTTTTGAAGTAAAAAAAGGTGTCTATGTTAAAGAAATAAAGATGTGATGTTAATGTGGGTTGAATTCTTGATCCAACTCATGCTGAAGTCAGGGAGAGCATTTCCAGGATCTCAGATGCAGGACAGGGCTCTAAGAGGGTGATTTTGTATATGTTTGGACTAGCAGCAAGGAATTCTGCCTTCTGTGAAGCACCTTTGAACCCTGAGAGGATGCACAATGGCTTAATCCTCCTCACACGGCCTATGCTGAACATGAATGATATTGGCAGGAATGATTTCTACATTGTAAACTTGTATTTGAGGAGTTTATCTTTCAAAAATGGATGAAGCTTATCAATTTGCATATTTTTACCATTCCCAGACACAGAGATATGTGGGCTCTACGTCTGAACAGATAATGAAGGTCAATTCAATTTTTGATCCCATGTTGCAGCTACTAAGCTAAATAACTTGTGTCATAAGCCTCATCTGCAGTGAAATATATAAAAAAATGACATTTCATTTTAACCTGCTTTTATCAAGGTTAAAAATATAACTATAGCTGCTTTGTAGGTTATCTTATGCTTAAGCCACATCTGCTTACAGTTGTAGTTTTTTCCTCGACCAGTAACTTGCATAAGGGCATTCTACCACTTTCATAAGAAATTTCACAGATTCAGAGAGAAAAGAACCCCTTTCCATACCTGGGTATGCTATTAATACTTATTGATGAGCATTTAAAACTCTAAATCTGTTTTAAACATTCAAGAATGAGCAATGAAGGAAGCTTGTTTTCAGTGGCAGAAAAACAGTTTTTCAAAAACAAACCTGTCTGTATTAATGAGGTCTAATTAAGCAACTTTCCCTTAACAGTCCTGGCTGAAAGCACATACTGAATTACTTACTAATTTGCAGAACTGCTGAGTATGTACTTCTCATGTGGAATCTGTAGGAATTTAAATGAAACAATATAGTGCAAATATAATCTCCTGTAATTAGGCTTAATTTTAATTATACAAGTTCAGATGATTTGTTAACATATATTTTCTTCAGATTTTCAAACACAGCATTAAAGAATTCTGCTCTCCTTGTCAATAGGAGAGAGTCCCTGTTTCTTCCAGCGTTGTGACAGGTTCCTGTTCCATTCTCTTTTCCTGGGACATTTCAACGTATACCTTTAGT